TTACAGATTGGCTTTACCGCCTAATCTTTCGAATTTGCATGATGTGTTTCATGTGTCGCAACTCCAGAAGTATATTTCAGATCCATCTCATGTGATTCTTATGGACGATGTGCAAGTATAGGATAATCTTACGGTGGAGACGATGCCTGTACGGATTGTGGATCGTGAAACTACGAATCTGAGGGGCCAAGATATTTCTTTGGTTAAAGTGGTTTGGCTAGGAGCTGTCGGAGAAAGCATGACTTGGGAGTTGGAGAGCAAGATGCGAGACTCCTACCCTGAGTTGTTTGATTAAGGTAAATTTTCGAGGACGAAAATATTCTAAGTGGGGGAGAGTTGTAACACCCGTAATTTAATTAATTATTTAATTAAATTATTTTTGGAATATTTGTGAAGATGTGTTGTGATTAATTGGATTTAATTATTTTATTAAGTGTAGAAATAATATTAGAAGAATAATATTATTTGATGTGGGCTTGTTGGAAAGGAATAGAAGTAATAAGGGGGGTGTAATAGTTTTAAGCCCATTAAGGAGTAAAGAGAATAATAGGTTATTTTATTATTGTTAGAAGGAATAGAAAGAAGAGGCAGTAGAAGAATAAGGATTGAGAAGAAGAACGTGAAGCTACTGAAAAAAGAGGAAAAACGGCAGAACGAGGATTCAACCGGAAGTTATAGAGCGAACTTCAATCCAAGGTAAGGTTGGGGTTCTGACTCTATAATTGGGTTCATGATAATTGGTATGTGGGGTTAGAGGTGATTGTTGTCTTGTTCTTGAATGGAATGTTTATGATGTTGTATGATGTGAAATTGATGAATTATAGATGAATAATGATGTCCCAATGCGGGTTAATTGATGTAGAATCATAGGGTAATTGTAAGTGATGATTATCTATGATTAGATCAAGTTTTTAGGGCTTAAAATATGAAACCTGTAGTGAAAACGCAGAGAAAATCGCAAAATTTATGCAGGATGTAACAGGATGCGTCGACCTCAAACATGATGTGTCGATACAAGAAGGTTGAGAGACTCAGTATGAGTCGACACGAAGGGTCTTGCATCGATACACGAGGACTTTTAGACTCAGGATTAGTCGATACGTAGGATGCATTTGTTGATACATGTTGTGTGTTAGACTCAGGATGAGTCGATCCAAGAGAGGATGCGTCGACTCATGTTACGAGTTTAGTGCAATTACGCGTTAATCCAAGTAGTTTTGCATCGATCCATATTGTCTGATTTTTGGTAGATTCAATTTGAAAATGTTGTAACTTGAGTTTTAGGATGCCGTTTGAGATGTCGTTCGAAGCGTTGAATAGCTAACACGATGAGCTTTAAATCTTGAGGATTAAAATGAAGAGTAGGAAGGATAACCCTAGTAATCCCAATTAGGACTAGAGTTGATTTCCGCATTAATTGTTATGTCCGTTGTAAGCAGAATGATGATAACGAAAGGTTTATAGGCTGCTGTTTGATTTGTAACAGTAGGAGTAATGATAGTAATGATGTCAGATTACAGAATAGAAGTATAAATTATTGTCGTATTAATGTACAGTTGAGTTGTTGATGAGACGTTATTAATGATGTTGTGTTGATAATTTATGATGAATAAATGATGTTTGATGAATAAATGATAAATTATTATGGATGATATGAGATGTTGATGAAGAGATGTTGAGATGCTTTTGAGATGTAGGCCCTTGGCCAATGATGATGTTGTATTGTGATTGTTGTTAATTATGGTCTTTTTAATATATTCATGATTGTGTCGCATGCATTGCATTTTGAGATGGAGCTTATGCTCGTTGAGATGGCCTGAATTTGGCGAATATTGAGATGAAGGCTTATGCCTTGTTGATGCCTCTATTAATTGGCAAATTTTTTAGATAGGAGTTCTTCTCCAATGGTACCACATGCATTTGCATAGTATTGAGTCGCATTATATGATTGCATAAAGAAGTGTGTATTGATGTTGTGATTGTGTATTATTGTTGTTATTATAGTTGATTATGAGATGAGAAGTGGTGATGTTATGTGATCTAATTTAATATATTAATTATCATGCGCTTTATTATATTGTTAGATATCTCACCCCTTCTGTTTGAATGTTACCCTTCTGTTGGTAACGTGCAGGTAATCCAGAGTTAAGGCTGTATACCTTCAATAGTTAGAGTCAGTGCCATTGCTCTGATATGTAACACTCGGGGGATGAACGCTTGTTGCTTTTGATTATTGATTATTCAGTTATTGAACTTTAAGTTGATTATTATCATGTGGTGATGTTTTGAAGTCGTTGTATTGATGATAAAGATGCTATTAAGAATTCCTCTGCATAGATGTTGAGTTATTTAATTAAAGATGTTATGATGACGGTTCATCCGATGTTTTAAAGTGTTACGTATCCACGATGAATGCAATGAATTTAGTAAGAAGAATTTGTGGCATCCCGATTCGTTTGCATGAATGATTTTTATAACTCTGATTTGTTTGTATAATTTGTCGGGGTAGAATTGGGGTGTTATAGATGACCCTTGACTTCTCTTTAGGCATACCAATTTTGTTGATAAGGCAATTGGGGAATCACCAATGAAAGTTGAAACTGAGGCGTTGCTTAGGCTTGTATAGTGAAGGGCTACCTTCTCTCCACAATAATATTTGTAGGACAAAGCTCCTTTGAATCTCCAATGTTTGATATTTCCTTCACCAATCTAGGATTTTCTTGAAATGCTTGAACTTTGTTCTTGAGCATTGGGAAATTTTGTTAGCTGAATTGATAGCGACCAAGGGCGAAGGTGGAAACGCATGACATGTAAATGTATGAATGTAGGAAAATGCATGGGTATGCAAAATAATTTTTTGGCTTTTGGGTATGCAAGAAAAAGTTTCATGGATATGCAATGCGATGCAAATGTAGTATGAGAGTAATTACGAGGGTACCCTATACAAGTTTAATGATAGCCATGATGATATCCTACACTGACTCAGAGATTGAGACAAACAGGGACTCCTTATGGACAGAGATGATAATAGACATAAATATGATGATATCCTACATTATATTAGAGACTGAGACAGGCATGAATTCCTTGAGGATTATGGTCAATGAAAGATGACGAGGAGTCTCTACAAGATAGGGATTACGACATAGACGGAAGCCTTACGGGCTAGAGATAATAATGGAAGAAAAGATAACCCTTGTGGGTTTACAGATTATTGTGGGATTTGTGAAAGGTATCCTTAGAAGGTAGGTTTATAGTATTGGCCTACAAATATTCTATCATCCCCATAAGGTGGTTTCCTTAAGGATGTCATGAATAACACTAGAGGGAAAGGCACAAGGGTCTCCCATAAGCCGAGTCTCTTTACAGACCGAGACTTTTGTCTCTAGGTCATGAAAAGCCTCATCATGAATTTTTTGGTTTAAAGGCCTTACAAAGAGTCATAGGTGTCATTCAAAAGTCTCACTTCTCAAGAGGATGTCTCTCGATAGTTATTTATTTTGTGGAATTCCATCGACTCTAGGCGAAGTCGTCGTGTAAACTCATAGGGTTGATGTAACCCCTGGCTAACAGACGAACCTTCTTTCTAAGGGTTTTTGAAAATATTATTTTGCAAAATTTAAATCCCACCACAGATATAATATGATAAATATAATATACAAAATAAATGAAAAAATAAATAAAGCAAAATAAAGAAAAACCAAAAAAATAAGAAAAACCCTAAAACCTAAAGGAGAGGCTTTTAAACCTAGAGTTGAGTCCCCAGCAGAGTCGCCAGATGCTATAACCGGTTTTTAAATCAGATTCGTTCCCTTAATTTTTATCCTAAAGGAAGGGAGTATAAAGGAATAACCCTAAAAGTTAGAGATTCTAGGTTGTTGACTCGGTTCTAGACGAAAGGAAGGTGTTAGGCACCCCTCATCTACCTTGTTCACAAGGATACTAGGTTTAGAAGCGCGATTTCTAGGAAATAGGGTTTTAATATTTTATTAGAGGAAAAGGGTTTGTTTTTTAATTAGTGGGACTCGCCATGATTTGTGATCGTATGCCTACGTATCCTCCTAGGAGGAATCAGAGTCTCATTTCGTAGTTTGCAGTTTGGTTGGTGTTTTTAGAGGATTGCATAGAATTGTTTTCGAATTTATCCTTGAACCTTGTCTGGGTTTTGAAAATTCTGTGAACATAGACGTAGTTCGTAATTAATTTCGAAAGAAATTCTCCTTAACCCTTTTTCGAAATCATCTTTGTTTTGATTATGTTAGTAGAAAAATGTTTTGATGTTGGTTAGTTGTATTAAGACGTAGAGCGGGGGAGTCTTATATAGTCTCCTTATCACGTGGCCAGATATTGGTCACGTGTTACTCACGGATGGTGAATTGTGTTGGTTTTAATATTTGATTTTGAATAGTAAACTGGTAGACAATGTGTCGACCGATTTAATTACTCGAAGATGGACATCCTATTATTTATAGAATATTTGAATTAATTATTTAGAAGCAAATTTATAATTAACTTGATTTATACTAAAAAGGAACAAACCATATTTTAGAACTAATTAAGATTAAAAAAATTGTTAAGCTAGTAAAATTAATTAAATTAACTAATCTCGACTAATTAAATTATTTAAGCAAATGAAAAAAGTTAAGATGAAAACAAAAGAAGGTGAGAAATAGAATCGGGGTGTACACATGAAAGGATTGGACTTAAGGCCCAATTACTCATCACCAACTCTAGCCCTAATATTAAAATTTAAGACGACCTAACTCTAATTTGGACTAATATACATATATTAAAAAGGAAAATAATGAATAGTTATAAATCAAATAAAACAAATTTACATGGTAATAAGAAAAACAATTTTAGAAAAAAAACTCTATTTATTATTCATTATGTTCTTTAAAGAATTTAAGTATACCATTTACAATAGGACACACGGTTTAGCAATATAAATAAAATACAATAAAAACATTATACCAACCTGATGAAATAACACATATCATGGAATATCATTTCCTTTTTATTTTTCACGATAAAGCTGCTCACTTTCCCTTTCTCTCAAAAATTCTCCTTTTTCTTTTGACAAAACAAAAATTTCTAGCAGATCCCTTCTCCTTGCATCATGAAGGTCGTTCGCTTGTGGGAGCGGCGATATCGCAGATGGCGTTTGTGACATTTTTCGGTGGGGGTTTTTCGACAATGTTCTCGGATTCCGATCTGTTTCTCATCCCTTTTTCCTGCAATTTCTTGTGCATTTTGTTCTTAATTTGAAATTTTGTTGTTACCAATAACTTTTATGTTTGTGTCTATGATAGAAACAAAGTAAAATGTGAAGTTATTGGAGTTTGGTTTTTTACAAATCTATGAAGAGTCTGTGACTTTTTTTATGTGAGTAGTTGTTAATGATGAAGATTGATTAGTATAGAGTATATGTTCATGTTTTTTTCAGAAAAAAAACCAACGTCATACAGTGTTTACATATTAGTGAAGAAAGTGAATAAAATTAATAATATAATTTTAAATGTAAAAAAGAAAAGAAAAGTATATAATATATAATTTTAATAAAAAAACCTAGAATACACAATTTTAGTGCAAAACAAAAATACAACATATATACAATTTAAAAAAAACATTTACCAAGTGAGAATTAATGTGTGCATTAAAATTTGTAAATGGTTAGTAAAAAATATGCATCAAATATTCTAATTGACCTATGTCATATACAAATAAAATAAACCAAAGTATAATAAAGAATATGAATAGATAACCGTCATAGAATCATCATCCGGTTTAACAAACAAATAAAAATATTGAAAATAAAAAGGGAGAGAGGGTGGGTGGCCTCATATGAAATCATTGGCCAAAAAACCCAAGTGGAAACATTGAGAAGCAATTGCAAAAATATTTTGTAATTGTGAAATTGTTGATTGTGTGTGCAATTGAAAAATTGTGGATCTGTGAATGCGAATTGATGATTTAAACTTATACAGAGCATGTTTTGAAAAATTGTGGAGTGTTAGCTTTCGAAATTGATTTTGTATTGGAAAAGAACATAGATGGTGCAAGAGTGATAGTTAATATGACAAAATACGCACAAGGTGTAATTGTGAATAAGAGTGAGTAGTAGTATTAGTATGTGATGAATGTTAGAAATACCAAATGTAATATAATAGCAATAAGAATTAGGAATCAAATGATAATTTTCATAAAAATATAATGAACAAAGTAACCATCAGAGATTCATCATGGGATTTAAACAATGAATAAATTAAAATTAAGAAGATAAAATTGAAGATAAGAGAGAGGTCTCATATCAAATCATCGGCCAAGAATATTTTGAAAATAACACCAATAAAATTCTTTAGAAGAATTTTGAAAAGAAACTTGCAAAAGTGACGTGTGAAACTGTGAAATTCGCAGAGATTGTGGATACATGGATTTGTAGTGAAATTGTGAATTTCTAGATATTGTGAATTGTGGATATCCTAGAAGTGTGAAAAATATGTCTTATTTGTAGATAAAAAAACCATTCAAATTGGAAATAAAAACAAAATTGACCAATCAGAAATTAAGTGTGACACAAATTGACATCAAATGGCCAATAAGAAACACCTATTTAGAAAAGGAAATATTTTTTTATATTTATTATAATTTTTAAAAATACCATAATAAAATATTTAAATAATATTTAAATAATAAAAAATGGTTTTTTTATGATGGAAATAAAATTAGTGATAATAAACCAAACATATCGAAAAATGCACCAAGTGAGATTCGAACCCGTGACCTTGTATCTGCGGGCTCGCTTCTTTACCAATTGTAATATGCCATTTCATTCGAGATGAAAAAGACAATTTAAAACATATGAAAGGTGAGCATGTATTTTCTATTTAAAAATACAAACAATTTTAAATAAATTATTATATTTTTAAATAGTCTTAAAAAAAATAAAACCCAAAATGTTAATAATACCCAAAACAATTATGAAACCAAGTTACAAAAATGAGGCGGGCAAATTTGGGGTATAACATACAATCACTCAAAGATAATTTGAAAGCAATTCTACGCAATCCATAAAAAGCACAAACCAACTGCGAACTACGAATTGGGACACTGATTCCTCCTAAGAGGATACGTAGGCATACGACTAAAAATCATGGCGAGTTCTCCTAATAAAAAACTAAAACCCTATTTCTTAAAGATCGTGCTTCTAAACCCTAGTATCCTTGTAAGCAAGGTATATAAGGTGTGCCAAACACCTTCCCTTTGTCTAGAACGAGTCCTAAAAACCTAGAATATCTAACTTTTTAGGGTTAACATTTATATTCCCTTCCTTAGGATAAAAAATTAAGGATGGAGACTCTCATTTTAAAACCAGTTACAACAAGGATTCAGGAGTACGGAGTACTAACACCATTGGACGAGGATTTAGAGGTGATACTCTTTTCAAGAATGTAATTGTTGTTTTGTTTTGAGGGGTGACTTGGTATTTCGTGGAAGATACCAAATCTGGCTAATGATTCATATGCATGTTTGAATTTCATATGGCGTAATGATCCATCTTAATGGATATGCTACGCGTTTGAGGATGCAATGTTATGTAGTGCCAACTATATGCAAGATGTAGAGAAATAAACTCTGTGGGGATAACAACAGGCTCATTGGGGCCGCTCACTTGCTGTTTGGAGATACTCTCGCTTGCTGTCTGGAGATACCAATACGGATTGGTGCTTGAAAAGCTTGTGGTACCAAGGGTCATTGACACTTCACTAGAGATTGAGTTGTAGCTTTGATGGGGAGGAAGTGCTCTAGCCTGACTTCCCTACATCCTGAATTTCCTGGGGATGGTAGAATTAGGCATAGACACGCTGGGGAATTGCATGTTGAATATCCCTTAGCTCTCTTCGAATGCCTCGAGTTTGCTTCATAATGGGGAAATACACCTTGAACTGCTTGGGGGGTTACGAGATGGACATGGATCTCTTTGACTACCCATATTTTGCTTATCTGTTTGAGATTAGGTGACAATCATTTGTGGGGATTATATGCTGCACCACATAGAACTCCCCGAGTGCCCCAAGTTTACTCTACTTGGGAATTATATGTTAAATCTGGATGTTGAAACATGCCCCAAGTTTATTTCACAGTTGAGGAGTACACTTTGAACATCTGCAGGGGATGAGGACAACTTTTTAATGCTGGTTGGGTCAAGGTGACCGCCATGACACTTAGCTTAATTTCTTCAAAAGTTGTCTTTTAGGACACAACTTGCTTGTGCAGCTTTGTGAGTATGGATGATGAATGCCCCTGTCTTATATGATCTCTGAAAGAATCTGGTATCGAATGAAATACTGGAATACTCGTGCCACACTATAATGAAGTGGTATGCCCCAATGTCTTGGGTCACATGATGAACTTTCCCTAATTATAGATTTCTTGGAGATATTTGTCGAATCTCGATGTAGCTTCCCCAGGTTGAAAGTTATGGTCTATAAAGAGGCTCCACTTAAGGGAGGCCCTTGTTCCTTTCCCTCTAGTGTTATTCGTGATACCCTTATGGAAACCACCATATGGGGAGGGTAGAATATTCATAGGCCAATACTAGGAACCTACCAACTAAGGATACCTTTCACAAATCCCACTACAATCCCTAAACCCGCAAGGGTTATCTTTTCTTTCACTACTATCTTTAGCCTGTAGGGCTTCAGTGTTTTTTATGATATAACCCCTAGCCAGTAGGAATTCTCTTTTGAAAGTCTTAATCCCTAATTGATAGGGATCCCCTTTCGTCCAACATTATCCTTAGAGATCTTATAGGATCTTGTTCATTTTCCGATGAAGGACGTCCTCGCTAACGCATGCCATGTGGCCTATATCAGGCCATGGGATATGGTGATTGTTGACTGGTCACCATGTATTCTCTTCCACTCTAATCCCTCAAGTCGAGCCTTCATCGCCACCATTCATTGGTCAATCACCATTCCCAGCCTATAGGAATTCCCTTCCCTCTATTATAATCCCTAGCTTGTAGGAATTCTTCTTCGTCTTTCTTTATCCTTAAGGAGTTCTTATCTGTCTCAATCTCCAAGTCAGTATATGGTATCCTTATTTCCATGTCTATCGTTATCTTCGTCCTTAAGGAGTTCCTTCTAGTCTCAATCTCTGAGTCAGTATAGGACATCATCATTTCCATATCTACCATTAAACCTGTATAGGGTACCCCAACGTCTACCCTCATACTACGTATATGTCGCATTGCATATCCATAAAACTTTTTTTGCATACCTAAAAGCAAAAAAAATTTTTTGCATACCCATGCATTTTCTTACATTCATACATTTTCATGTCATACATTTCCACCTTTTCCCTTGGTCGCTATTAATCTAGCTAACAAATTTTCCGATGCTCAAGAGCAAAGTCCAAGCATTCAAGAAAATCTTAAATTGGTGAAGGAAAGGTCAAGCGTTGGAGATTCAAAGGAGCTTGGTCCTAAAAATCCTATTGTGGAGAGAAGGCAGCCCTTCACTATACAAGCCTATGTAACACCTCAGTTTCAACTTTCATTGGAGATTCCCTCATTGCCCTATCAACAGAATTGATATGCCCAAAGAGAAGTCGAGGGTCATCCCCATGCTTTGACAAGTCCGAGAACATCCAGAAGCTCTCTTTAAGTCAAGTGGATTGAACTAAAAAGCTCTTTGATATGATCATTAGACATTATTAATTTCAAATTGTGGTTTCCAAGTTGCTAAGTTGTATTTGGTGTGAACTTGTACTTTTGGATTAGTAATTCTAATAAAATAATCATGCATGTTTTTGAAATCAGTTCATTCGTATTCACTCTTTCATCACTTTCCATTTTACTTTTCACTCTTCCATTCTCAATTAACAATCTTCGAGGGAGAATGATGTAAACTAAATAATCAAATTTTGCTGACGTATGATTTTTAATAGTAAGGCTTAGTTGATGATGTAAGGCATTGTTTCACTTTCGAAACAGTGGAGAAATAAGGAGTTAATTTATAGTCAACCCCCTCGAGCCATGAGTTGGAGTTTGTTCTATTTTTCTATAAAAAACCATAATTTCAACCAGGGGAAGGGTAGATTTCAATTAATTCAATGAAGCATTCAAATCTCAGGAGAATTGGGCCATCTAAGCAAAGGTTCAAGCATATCTCCTTCCTTGATATACCATTGAGGAAATGATCTAAGAAAAGTTTCGAGCACGTCATCTTCGATGTACACATCAACAAAGATTGAGGAAGCAATCA